CTATACTTGTACTTGTACGTGTACTTGTACTTATACCTATACCTATACCTATACTTATACTTGTACTTGTACTTGTACTTATACCTATACTTATACCTATACCTATACTTAGACCTATACTTGTACTTATACCTATACTTATACCTATACTATACTTATACTTATACTTATACCTATACTTATACTTATACCTATACTTATACTATACCTATACTTATACTTATACTTATACCTATACCTATACTTATACTATACTTATACCTATACTTATATACTTATACCTATACTTATACTTATACCTATACTAATACGTATACCTATACTTATACTTATACTTATACTTATACTATACTATACCTATACTTATACGACTATACCTATACTTATACTTATACCTTTACCTATACCTATATTTATACTTGTTCTGATACAGCTCAAGATCTTTATAAACATATTCAGGAAAGGTTCATTTATGTCCTGCAAATGTGACTTTTGAGTATTCATACCTGCTCAAATGGTTATGTAATTTTGATACTATAGTTTAATTCTGATTAGTATATGATTTTCTGTATTTTTGACAACTCTACAGTTCAGTTGCATGACTTTGATTACAATTATTACTATCATGACTGAATACCACTTTTAACAGTACTGACTAGTGTAATTTTGTTCACACAGTGTAGCTCTTTTTTGTCGTGCAATGGTGCAAAATGTTGTAAAATCACCAAATCAATGTGTTTTGAAACTCCCACACATAAAATGAATATATTTTAGTTCATCAGTTGTACGCTATGGGCTGTTGTTCTTGTTTGTCGATACTGTGTGTTTGTGAGTAGCTGAGAATGCTCATTTTTAATTCTGCATTCCTTTAAACGCCACGCATTTATGCTTAAATTGTCTTTTTATTATGGGACATCTGGCTGTTATGTTATGCCGCCATTAGCTGTGTTTCTGTTCAGAATACTGCCAGCAAAGACCTTTAAATATTACAATTTTTCTACTGAGACAAGAGGTTGAACTCATATATCTAAACATATTCAAAGTGAAAGGCCACAGACAGTTGCTCAATGCAGTGAGTTATTCAGATGGCTGTTTTTTACATAACTAAAACAAAGCAACTTTAATAAGGCTTGGAACATTAGGTTAATTTAGGTCTGCGTCCCAATACAATGTGGTTTTACTGAGTTTATAGTAGGGGAATTACTTAAATTTGCAGTAAAAAGGTCATTTGGGCCATGTTTACCTTATTTTCAGACTATAAGTCGCAGTTTTTGGGGAAATGTATTTTATAAAATCAGAGACTAGGAACTGACATTTTATCTTGAAAGGCAAGTTGCAGTAATAACAATAGAATAGAGAACAACAGGCTGAATGTAACATATGAACAGTTATTCAGATAATTATAGCATAAACAACAGAACATAAAACTCACGATCTCACTCCAAATCATTAAATCCATTGAATTCTTCATCCTCAGTGTTATTTCTGCGCGACCTCCGGAGATAAACCATAGCTCCATGAGGAAAACTGAGTGCCGCTTCCTCTTTTGCGTAGCTGTCGTTAGAGTCAGCATCAGTTCCATTTAGAATTATTCCGGCCTTTCTGAATCCCGACAGGATGGTTTTGGTTGTCACTGAAGTCCAGGCTTTGTCCATCCATCCAGTGACTTCCCGGAAAGTTACATGGCGCACCCTCCCAGTTACCGTGAGGCTGTGTTCTCCATCTCCACTTTCCGCCAGTCCCTCACAAGTTTCTCGCTCACTCCAAACTTTCTTTCTCCTGCATTATTGTTTTTGGCTGCATATTTCACAATTTACAGCAGGACAGCAGCTTTTTTGGCAGGAGACATGTGCAGTAGAGGGAAGTGACAACGGTACAGGAGCAGCAGATACTGACACAGAAGCCTAAGCGCCACTCACGGCTGTCAGTGTGAAAATTTTAATATATAAGTAGCACCGGAGTATAAGTCGCAGGACCACCCAAACCATGAAAAAAAGTGCAACTTAGAGTACGAAAAATACAGTAATATACCTCAGTACCCTTACCCGTACTATCTGTACTATGGACACACAATCTCTTACAACAGCAGCACCAACAAGAAGATTTGTTTACGCTTGACCCAGGCTGTAGAGAAGAGTCAGAGATGATGTGTTCTGTTCTGAATCTGTACATTTTATTTAGAGCAGATACAGGGATACAGATCCTCCTCCTCCACCTCTGACATTTCACTGTCTCAGGCTTTATCTGCACTATATCTCATTTTTCATATTTTGTTCAAACACGATTTCACTTTGACATTCAAGTGAGTTTTTTTCTGTATATTCAGTGACTCTTTCACGTGTTATGAAGAATGTGCCTACAGAACAATGTGTATTATTATACTTGGGATGTAAAGAATTATAGCGTCAGTATGACCAGTTTGCCTCATGGAGATGTTATTGCAGTAGAATGTTCCACAGTATGGTGTTAAACATGTCTATCTCGCATTTATTCATTTTTGTATTCATCAAAATTACTTGAAAAACATGCACTCGGAGCTCATCTGTAACTTTCCCTTATGGTTTCATGTGCTTCTATTCCTCGAGATAGAGCATTTTTATTTTATACTGTGGAACATTTCTGGCAAAGTAAGAACATTTCCACGGAGACAAGCAGGTGAATCTAAACCAGGACTAAACCAGGTCTAAACCAGGACCGAGACCAGGACCGAGACCAGGACAAAACCAGAAGTAAACTAGGACTAAACCAGGACTAAACCGGTCTCAGTCCTGGTCTCGGTCTCAGTCCTGGTCTCAGCTCCAGTCTCAGCCCCAGTCTCAGCCCCGGTCACAGCCCCGGTCTCAGTTAAGGTCTGGTCTCGGTCTCAGTCCTGGTCTCAGCTCCAGTCTCAGCCCCAGTCTCAGCCCCAGTCTCAGCCCCGGTCACAGCCCCGGTCTCAATTAAGGTCTGGTCCCGGTCTCAATCCTGTTCTCAGCCCCGGTCTCAATCACGGTCTGGTCCCGGTCTCAGTCCTGGTCTTAGTCCCGGTCTGGTCCCGGTCTCAGTCCCGGTCTGGTCCCGGTCTCAGTCCCGGTCTGGTCCCGGTCTCAGTTCTGATCACCCAACAGTGTATGTGGGTGCACCTCCAGGCCTGTCCCGACACTCAGTCCTGGTTCAGTCCTGTGTTATTTCTGGGTAAGTCCTGGTTTCGACCTGGTTTAGTCCTGCTTTAGTCCTGTTTTAGTCCTGGTTCAGGACGGGCAACTGCCATCACAACACAAAAACACAACTCCAGGTCTGTTTGTGATGAGGAAACAACATTATAACATAGATCAGAAAGTAGCATAAAATAAGCAACATGCAGGTCTGTACAGTTTGGGTTTGCTCCTCATCTATATTCATCCTCCTGAACCCCTGCGTACGCACACATCAGAAAGCCCCACCGCTGAAGGTTAATGGGTCAAATGCGCGATCAGAACAGCGCTGTAGCACACCCTCCTCTCATTAGAAGCATTTAGAAGAGAATCATTTGATACAGTTACTCTGATCTCGCCTTTAGGCCTTCCCCTGCGCATACTTCCTCTCTTCCCCTCTCCGGCTCCTGTGGGCTGAGGGAAACAGGGCCTGAATTCAGATCACCCCCTTTGAAGTGAGCGCTGGCGTTGGCTGTTCTGTTATGTGTGCGTACCAGAATCCAAGCGATCCTCCTCTCTCCTCCTCTCTTCCTCCTCTCCTCTCTCTCCTCTCTCTCCTGCTGGGTGATTCTATGCTTCTTTAATCACATCAGGTGCTTAATAATTAATGCACGTGGTAAAAAGGAGCGGGGGCTGAATGGGTGAGCAGTTGTGACCCCCGCAGCTGTGTGCTTTAACCTTTGCTGAGCGAGAAGCAAGAGCGGAGTTTAAGACAGAGAAAACAGCTGGGAGCGCTGTATTGTTTTGAAAAGAAGAGGGTCCAAGTAAATGCATGGGAAGAAGGCAAGGTGAGCACTGTTGCTGTTGGTTACCGCTGGTGTTCACTAAACTAATGAGAAAAGTGTATTCAAATAGTATTCGTGCTGATTTTGTTCAGTCTTTGTGGAAGTATGAGGTTTCTTCCCCTCTTAGACTTGGACAAACTTTATTGATCCACAAGGGAAATTATTTGGACTCTTCTTAACAAAGTTATATGTGTCTTATTTTAGAGATCCTCATTATGTAAAGTTTGTTGTTTTTGTGCTTTCACCTTGTTACTGGTACATTTGTGAGCCGTTGTTGATAGCTTCATTCTGTATTTGAAGTTCATACAGTTTCTGCTGACATGTTTCTCATTTTTAGCACAAAAAGCTTAAGATGGATCATATTCAAATCGTGCATTTTTCATTCACTCCACACTGGTGAGCAACAGTTTTAACCACAGCTGCCCTGGGACAGACTGACACAAGCGAGGCTGCCAGTCTGCGTCATCAGCTTCTCCGATCATCACCAATCATGCACACACCACATTCACACTAGGCAATGTGGGTGAAGTGTCTTGCCTAAGGACACAATGACTCAATGTTTTTTTTGCCACTGGTGCCTCACTGTGGCTCCTCATATTCCCAGCGGTCTCCAATCCAAGTACTAACCAGACCCAGCCCTGCTTAGCTTCTTAGCTTAGATCTGATTAGATCAGACTTTGACAAGCTGATATGGCCACAATAAGTTTACTAACTTGGGCGCTGCGTGCCTTTATTTTTAGCCTCACTGATTCATTGTGTGCCAGCAGATGCAGAAAAATGACATTGTGTGTCTTTAAAATCTTGTATCATGTATCTTATAAGTTGTTTGATTCTTGTGATAAGAAATAAATGTTAAAAATATAAAAATTTAATACAAGAAATTTAGTTCCCAAACTGGGGGGTGGACAGTCACAGCTCCATGTGGCCTGATGCCTTTTATAGCATCAACACTTTGATTTCTTTTTTCCTCGCAGTTTTCCTTCATTGCAGAAGCACTTACAGCCCCACTAAACCCTCTCTCTCCCTCTCCTTCCTTCTGTAGGTGTGTTGAAATCATCGCCAAGGAAGGCCGCAGTCTGAAGGAGCTCTACCTGGTGTCCTGTAAAATCACCGACCACGGTAGGAAACGCTCCATCACTGTCCCTGTGTTGCAGTGAACCTCCGGCGCTAATATCAGCAGTGTTATTACCCACGGTCGCTAGCATGATTCAGGACTCATTTGATTTTTATGGCGCGCCCCTTATGAGTGCATAAAAATGTTATTGAAAAGTTTCACACTGAAACAAGTCCTGTTTGCTGACTCCAATGTGGATGCTGTGGTTGTAGGAAAACAAAAACAGGTTTATAAGTATTTCAACACTGTCTATGCAGGAAAAATGCAGTGTTATTTCAACGTATGACATGATTTAGTATATTTTACCTCTTTATTTATCTCTACATTTTATTTATTGATAACTTGATTTCACTGGCTAGTATAGTTTGTATTCCCTCCTTACTGACAACACACTTGGATATCCAACGTTTTGCTTGTTAATGGGTAGATTTTGTTTTCTAGCAAAAAATATAATGTACAAGTAGTACTTTTACAAAATCAGTTGTCTTTATGTAATATTAATGCATTTTCGCCAGAAGCTGTAGCCGTAAGTAGTGCTAAGATTGCCTGTCCTAAGGGTTTGTGAGAGCTAGGAAGTAGATGATTAAAATAAATAGCATCTTCTTTTGCAGTTTGAAAGTTGGGAAATGTAAATTTTCACATTTCGTTGTCAGTACCTCAGTACCAGAAAATATCTTGCTTCACTTCCACATTGCATACAGATGTTTATACTATATTAGCCAGTCAATTATTCCGCCTCCTCCTTATCTCTGGGTAATATGAGGTCTTGTTTGGTCTGATTGAATCAAACTCTTGTTTGCTTGGAAAGCCCAGTTTGCTAATGATCAGTCCGGAGCTTTGAAGAGGTAAGTCAATTTCAGCTGTCTGCAACTAGTCTTTATTGTAACTGATCACAGCCGCTTCACTCTATACAGTATGTTACACACATACATGCACACATATATAATCTGCTTTCTACACAGACTTCTAAATTAAATGGGTCACCAATGTAATAATAAAATATAAATAAATATATTAACAAAAATAAGTAATTCCAGTTCACTTTACACTCAAAATCAATCACAGTTCTACCTGTTGAAGCGCGGACCGTCCCCTACTCACGTACGTCGTGTGGACCGTCCCCCTCCCCCGTACACCGCGCGGATTGTCTCCCTCCTCCCGTACGTCGTGTGGACCGTCCCCATTCCCCCCGTACATCGCGTGGACCGTACACTCCTCCTGTACGTCGTGCGGACCATCCCCCCTCCACCCGTATGTTGCGTGGACCGTACACTCCTCCTGTATGTCGTGTGGACCGTCCCCATTCCCCCCTTACGTCGTGTGGACCGTCCCCCCTCCACCCGTACATCGCGTGGACCGTACACTCCTCCTGTACGTCGTGTGGACCGTCCCCATTCCCCCCTTACGTCGTGTGGACCATCCCCCCTCCTCCCGTACGTCGCGTGGACCGTACACTCCTCCTGTATGTCGCGTGGACCGTCCCCGTTCCCCCCGTACCTTGAATGGACTATCCCCGTTCCCCCGGACCAACTGGATTTCAGCTTTGAAAATGGCAACCCAAATGAGAGACTCAAGTGAGGTTTATTCAGATGTATGACTAGATAATTGCCTTGAGAACCAAAACTCCAAATTATAACATAATTAAGTGGGACATCATGTTTAATGTTTTGTAATTAAGAATAAATCAGCATTACATTTGTTATCATAGCTATATTTAATTTGAACACGCTTACCTCATTTCTGGGGACACAGTGGAGTCATGTTTATAAAACTGAAACTCAAAATCTCATACAGTTCCTTGAAACACATTGCGTTACACTAGACTGCCATTCACCCCCGTGCACACATAAAGTGAACATATCTTCCTCAGTATGGGTCCTGTGCTCCTGCTGTGTGGAGCCTGAGTCTTTGTAGAGCTGACAGTTCACACGCGAGCAGTGTATTCTTCAGGCAGCCCTTTACATCCCTCTTTCTATTTAGTTTACGCTGCCCGGCTTCCTTGCTGTTTGATGCTACACAACCATATGTTATTCTGAATATAGTAGGCTTTTATCACCACAGTACAGTGCACATTTGGGCTGCATCAGGAGCGCTGACTAAGGCTGTGTGTATGAATCATGCTGATGCCGGGTTTGTTTTGTTTTTATGTGTATGTTTTTTCATAAGGAGACATGAATTGCCTTTAGATGTACTGTGGCTGGCTTTGTATTAGAAAACATGCATGCATCAGAGTTGGCTGGTTTTATGTGTGAACTTTCTTTATATATTTTTACACAATAGTGCACACATATATTTAGCTGCACATTGGCCAGGAAGATTGTAACTTCAGGTACAATACACAGTTGACAGAGGTGGGGACTTGCAAGTCGTGACTTGGACTCGAATCAGACTTGAGTCACTATTTTTATGACTTAAGACTTGACTTGATAAAATGGACTAAGACTTGGGACTCGACTTGGACTTGAAGGTCAAGACTTGAGGCCTGTGACTTGAGAAGACTTGAGAAGCACTTTTAAATCTGAATTCTTTCTGTTCTGACTGTAATGATTCACTCTAAGATCTTGTCAAGAAATTTAAAAAGGAAAAATTAACTGAATTAATTTCCACAACTCTTATAAACTCTATAAATACTCATATATAAATACAGTATGATTTTTTAAAATACAGTTTATCTTAAAAGTCATACAAATTGTAAAAATCTAAACTATATTTGGTACTTTGGTTTAAAAACTTGAAATGATTTGAAGCTCAAAGCAAACGACTTGGACTTGACTTGGACTTATGGACCAGTGACTCGAGACTCAACTTGGACTTCTGTATTTGACTTGGGACTTGACTCTGACTTGAGGTCAAAGACTTGAGACTTATTTGAGACTTGCAGTTCCAAGACTTGGTCCCACCTCTGACAATTAATCAACATGAGAAAGCTTGCTTCTTCTCAGATCTAACCTGTATCTTGACCTGGGATTATCTATCTGCTTGTGTTTGTGGAGATTTATAAGTTTAAAGTCATGCTGTGGAACATTCTAAGTATATCAATAACACAGAGACAAACAAACCCTATACGAAAAAGTCCCATAATGAACCTTTAATTAGGACGCCTTGCATTGACATTAAGCTATTAAAATTCACTTAGTCATTAAATTTAGTTTCAAACTTTGTTCTGAAAATGACAGTACTTTTTTTTTTTTTTTTAGCTAAGGGAAGATTAATTAGAAATTCTGTATTTGTAATCAACACATTGTTCTTTTTAATGTGTTACTTTACAACGGTGTGATAAGAAGAAGCTCGGAGGTACCAGGCCTTTTCTCAATCACAAAGTAGTAGCGGCCATTATATTTGCATTGTTGCATCAATCAAGTTTCTTTGTTGAGTTTCAGTAAGTTGGAAATTGCTTTGAAAAACTACTAGTAGAAATAGAACTTTAATAGGATGAGCTTTCCTTCAGCGTGTAAAATTAGCAAACTTTTATTTGATGTCTGTTGCTTAGTGGCAGAAAATAAAGTTGATGTTGCCATGGTAATTAAATAGTTAGCACTCTCACCTCATTGATTTAATTTGATGACTTGACTCTGTTGTTGCTCACTTAGCGGCTTTTATGGATTTTATTATGGATTTTTATGCTGTTGCTACCATCGGTTACACCCCTTATTCATACTTGGGCAAGGAGGATAAAGTGTCTTGCTCGGTGACACAACAGCATGCACAAGTCAACTGGGATCAAACCTGCCATGCTTCGGGTTTGTGGGTGAAAGTGCAACCATGAACCACTCCAAGCTATTAATGTTTAGAATACAGGATATTTTAAGATAGTGTTTCTCCAATGGTGGTGCTTGTACGACTGGGAGTACGTTAGCTCTTTCAGGTTGTCTTTCTTTGGATATTTTTGTTAAGAACTACAATGAAGATGATGTAGTCCACTTTTAGATCTGGTTTAGCCCTAGATTAAACCTGGATTAGTCCTGTTATAGACCTGGTTTAGATCTGGTGGTACTCAGAAAGACTAACCTTTTCTTCAGGATGAACCAGTTTGAGAGACACTGTTTTAAGCACTCATGCATTGTAACATAACAATATTGTAATTACTATTAAAGCTAAGCAAAAGATGTTCATTTTGTCTTCTTATATACTTTAACTTCTTGGGTTCTTTTTAAAGACAATGCAGTAAAGTGTGTTTACCTTGTTGACATGTTTCGGCTGCTAGCTGCAAGCCATCTTCAGAACTGTCCAACAAGGTAAACACACTTTACTGCATTGTCTTTAAAAAGAACCCAAGAAGTTAAATTATACTATTAAAGCTGTTAAAGTAGAAGGTTCGTCAATTGCTTGTCACCACGGAGATGTTATTGCTTCAACTAGAATACGCCACAGTATTGCATTAAACGTATTCAACCCGGTGATGTCAATTCTTATTTCCAGGTTTAGAAACTTAAAGGTACACTATGTAACTTTTTGGAGGGAAGTGTCTGTCTCCTGCTTGTATCCATGGAGATGTTATTGCTTTGCCTAACATGTTCCACAGTATTGCATTAAACTTGTATTGCTTGCATTTATTCAGTTACAGGAGATTTTATTGTCTTAAAAAGCATGCATTCTTACTGAGAGCAGAGTCACTTTTCCACAGAGGCCCCATCCACACTAGTAAATATTCGAGTCGTTTTCGTTGCGCATGCAGTGTTTGTCCACACTAATCCGATGGAAAACTGCTCCACAGAGGGAACGATCTGGTGCCGCCAGCTCCTATGCGTTCATCTGAGTACAGATCTGATCCGGCACTGTGTGGACGCCTGAAAACGTTGATACGCTGATGTAGGAGCTCTAGTTGTCGTCCTTATTGGACCACGTCACTGTGACTTGCGTCTTCCTGATTCGCTTGGTTTGTGACATCGGTCATGTGACGATATTGTGGAAAACAGTTTAAACAAACCAAAGACAAATGAGAAACAGCGTAGCTACAGCTGCTTGCTACTTTCACGCTTACCATCTTCCTCAGCTCGAAATCGGC